GTACATCATTACAAAGGAACATGACTCAGCAGTAAAATCCAGGCAAAAGAAGGAGAGCCTCTTCGAAGAGGAGGAAGGAATTGTCTTTCCAATGGGACAGAGCTACAGTGGACAGGGTTTGCCAAAGGCCAACATCACCAAGGGGATTGGAGGCAGCAGAGGCGAAAGACAGACACAGTGTCCAAAGTTATAAAGACATATGAAGGCACATCAACAAGTTCATGGGAAATGGAATGAAGATATGTTTATTTATGGTGCATAACCACTTTGAAATCCATGCATACAAGAGATTTTCAGAGTTCACAGAAAATGCATATTATGGAAAAAGCCATCTGCAGCACTGGCATCTCATATGCACTCGTTTGAGTCCCAGCTGCTCTACTTCTGATCTAGCCCTCTACTAAAGTACCTGGGAAAGCAGCAGAGGCTGGCCCTAATCCTTGATCCCCTGAACCCACATGGGAGACCCAGAAGCTTCTGGCTCCTGGCTTCAGACCAGCTCAGCTCTGGCCATTGCGGCCATTTGGGAAGTGAACCAGCAGATGGAAGATCGCTCTCTCTCTCTAACCGTACCTTTCAAATAAGGAAATCTTAAATATATATATAGGGCCACTGCTGTGGCATAGTAGGCTAAGCCTCTACCTGAGGTACCAACATCCCATATGGACACTGGTTCATGTCCTGGCTACTCCTCTTCTGGTCCAGCTTTCTGCTTACGGCCTAGGAAAGCAGTGGAAAATGGCCCAAGTGCTGGGTTCCTGCACCCCTGTGGGAGACCTGGAAGAAGCTCCTGGCTCCGGATCAACTTGGCTCTGCTCTAGCCTTTGTGGCCATCTAGGGAATGAACCAGCAGATGGAAGACTTCGGTCTCTCAAATAAATAAATAAACCTTTAAAATTTTTAAAATTTTATGTGAGAGGCAGAATTAGAGAAAGATCTTGCATCTGCTGGTTCACTTCCCAAATGGCTGCAATGGCCAGGGCTGAGCCAGGCTGAAGCCAGGAGCCAGGAAGTTCATCCAGGTCTCTTACACAAGTGGCAGGGGTCCAAAGTACTTGGGCTAACTTTCACTACTTTTCCCAGACACATTAGCAGGGAGCTGAATTAGAAGTTGAGCAGCCAGGATTCGAACTGGCTAACATATAGGATGCTGGCATGGAAGGCATAGGCCTAACCCACTATACCACAACTATGTCTCATAGTGAAACTTTTAATATGCATATTAACTCAAATTTTTGTCTTAGAAACACACTGGCCAGGTAAACTGAGAATAGCTGATACCACATACCAGGAAAGAACTAAGATCTAGACTTAAGCCCTCTTGCTTTTATACTTAGAGTTCCAAGTGATGTTAAGTATTCACAAGATAAAGCTACTAGGGTATAACCATTTGGCACAGCACTTAACCATTGCTTGGGAGATCTGAATGGCATATTGGAGTACCTCGGTTCAAGTCCCAACTACGCACCTGATTTCAGCTTCCTGCTAATGTACATTGTGGGAGCCAGCAAGTGATGGTTCAAATACTTGGGTCCCTGCCATGCATGTGGGAGTCCCCAGTTGACTTCTGGGCTTCTGGCTTCAGCTCCAGCCTAGCCCAGCCCTAACTGTTGCATTTGGAAGTGAATCGGTAGATAGAAGAGTGCTCTCTACCTTTTAAATATATAAATAATTATTTATTAAAAAAGATAAAGGGTCTGGGGCCAGCACTGTCGTTTAGTAGGTTAAGTATCCGCTGCAGTGCCAGCATCCCATGCCTGTTCATGTCCTGGCTGCTCTTCTTCTGATCCAGCTCTCTGCTAATGGCCTGAGAAAGCAGTGAAGAAGGCCAAAGTGCTTGGGTCCCTGTATCCATGTGGGGGACCTTAAGGAAGCTCCTGGTTCCTGGCTTCGGATCATCCCAACTCTGCCCATTGTGGCCCTTTGGGGAGTGAGCCAGCCAATGGAAGACCTCTCTCTCTCTTTCTCTCTGTAACTCTGCCTCTCAGATACATAAATAAATCTTTTAAAACAGGAGGGGAGGAGAGTAGGCAGCACTGCAGTGTAGTGGGTTGGGCCACCATCTGAGCTCTGGCATACTATATTTGTGCCAGTTCATATCCTGGCTCCTTTACTTATGATCCAGCTCCCTGCTAACGGCTTGGGAAAAGCAGTGGAGGATGGCCAAAGTGTTTGGACCCCTTCTGCTCACTTGCAAGACCCACATGGAACTCTTGGCTCCTGGCTTTGGCCTGGCCTATTGCTAGTCACTGTTGCCATCTGGGGAGTGAACCATCTGTGGATGGAAGATGTCTCACTGTGTCACTTCCTCTCTGTAACTGACTTTCAAAATAAAAATTTAAAAAATAATAAAAACGTCAAAGCCATGAAGTTACCGTCTACCAAGGTACTCTGTCCTACAAAACCCTTGTTAATGACATGAATACAACCAGACACCAGTACCTTATAGTCCAGATGACTGAAGTTAAAATAAACCTGTCTCCTGCTCCCCAGTCATTTAAGGATTACCTTTACTGAACACAATGGATGGGCTGTGTTGAACATGCCTGCTTTGGCCAAGAATGAGCTACATGATTATAACATGAAGACTGGGATACAGCTATTGGTGACTAAGCCCAGGCTCCTTAAGTACTGTCTGAGCATGACACCTAACATACCTGTCTCCTCTTTTCCTCCTTCTCTTTATTATTCTATCTCGATTTCTTTTCACCTATAGGTCACCTAAGACAACCAAGTCAAGCAAGTCTATGTTTAACTCTTTTTCCTTCCATGAGTGTTGTCAGAGTAGCTTAGTCCTTCTACTTGGAGAAGCCAGAGAGGGGCACGTAGGGACCCCCAAAAGTACACTGCTGAGGCCAGCACTGTGGAGTAGCAGGTAAAGCTGCCACCTACAGTGCCATCATCCAGTATGGGCGCTGCTCCACTTCTGATCCAGCTCTCTGCTATGGCCTGGGAAGGCAGCAGAAGATGGCCCAAGTCCTTGGGCCCCTGCACCAGCATGGGAGACCCAGAGGAAGTTTCTGGCTCCTGGCTTCGGATCAGCACAGCTCCAGCTGTTGCAGCCAACTGGGGAGTGAACCAGCAGATGAAGACCTCTCTCTCTGCCTCTCCTCTCTCTGTGTAACTCTGACTTTCAAATAAATAATAAATCTTTTAAAAAAAGGAGGACCTCTCTCTCTTTCTGCAGCTTCTGGCTCCTGGCTCCTGGCTTCAGATTGGCTCAACTCCCACTATTGTGGCCATTTGGGGAGTGAACCAGTGGAGGGAAGACCTCTCTCTGTCTCTGCCTCTCTGTAACTCTTTCAAATAAATAAATTTAAAAAAAATAAATAAAAAAGGCTAAATCCAATCTATTTAGGCCTTTAAATTTTTAAGAAAATACACAACTAGGAATCATTTCTACTGTGGCAGAATTATCATTAATTATTATTCAAGATAAATCTTTAATTAAGCTTAACTGCCAAATCTTCCACATGAACTGAGTTTAATTTTCACATTTCCAATTGTTGCTATGGCTTAATTAATCTTCAGTTTTTCCAAGACTCTTTGAAATGACTGAAATACAAAGGTCTACAATGTCTGAAATAAGTAAACTTACCTGAGTTTGAATCAGAACTTATCTTTCAAGAAAAAATGTTACTGGTTTGGTTATTGTCTAATCAGAGTTAAGAAAATGAATTCACTTGAAATTTGTTTCTCTAACCTCCGATGTTGCTTGCAAATGTGCTACCTGGAAGCTATTCACAGCCTGAAACCTTCCTCTCATATCCTCTGATCTTCTTACAGGCTGAGCCTTTGCCATTCTGATGCCCAAGGCTCATGTGAACCTGTCCAACCTTGGCTGCGCCTACAGTTCAGTCCCATTCTACTGTGGCTTCATTCTGACTTGCAACAATAAGAGGAGGGGCCAGCGCCATGGCTCACTTGGCTAATCCTCCGCCTGCGGCGCCAGCATCCCATATGGGCACCGGGTTCTAGTCCCGGTTGCTCCTCTTCCAGTCCAGCTCTCTGCTGTAGCCCGGGAAGGCAGTGAAGGATGGCTCAAGTGCTTGGGCGCCTGTACCCGCGTGGGAGACCAGGAAGAAGCACCTGGCTCCTGGCTTCAGATAGGCGCAGTGCCGGTGGTGGCAGCCATTTGGGGGGTGAACCAATGGAAGGAAGACCTTTCTGTCTCTCTCAAAAAACAAACAAATAAATAAATAAAAACAGTAAGAGGACATCCAGAGGGAAAAGATCATAAATCTTATGGTCCAAAATGGTTACAATCTAGGGCCGGCTGTGGTGTAGCAGGTGAAGGTGCTGCCTCTAGTGCTAGCATCCAGATGAGCACTGATTCAAGTCCCAGCTGCTCTACTTCTGGTCCAATTCCCTGCTAATGAGCCTGGGAAAACAGCAAAAGATGGCCCAAGTCCTTGAGCCCCTGCACCCACGTGGGATACCCAGATGAAGCTCTTGGCTCTTGGCTTCGGCATGGTCCAGCCCTGGCAGTTACAAACATTTGGAAAGTGAATCAATGGATGGAAGACCTCTCTCTATGCCTCTGCCTCACCCTCTATGTAACCCTTTGAATGAATAAATCTTTAAAAAAAAAAATGGGGGCAAGTGCTGTGGCACTGCGGTTAAAGCTGCCACCTGCAGTGCTTGCATCCTTTATGGGAGCCAGTTTGAGCCCCGGCTGCTCCACTTCTAATCCAGCTTTCTGCTATGGCCTGGGAAAGCAGTAAAAATGGCCCAAGTACTTGGGCCCCTGCGCCCATGTGGGAGACCCGGAAGAGGCTCCTGGCTTTGGATTAGCACAGTTCTACCCATTGTAGCCAACTGGGGAGTGAACCAGTGGATGGAAGACTTTTCTCTCTGCCTCTCCTCTCTCTGTGTAACTCTGATTTTCAAATAAATAAATAAATAAATAAATCTTTTAAAAAAATGGTTACAATCTTCCTTCAATAGACCACCAAGGGGTTTGCAACTCTGAGACAGATCACAAGAACCCAGTTCCTCCATGGAGTCCCTGCTTCCTGCAGTTTTATTTTAATTTTAGGTGAAAATGAAAAAACAGACGATTGTTCTGAAAACTGACATCAACATCTCAAGAATTATATATTAGGAAAATGCAATGAGAAATCTTTATGGTTTGGTCTCTTCTGGAATTCATGAACTATAGTATTTGAGGAGATTCTCATCTGTAGGTTTCAGGATTTTCTTATCTGCCATATTTACCACCCATCCTGGGGCAAGACCAAAGAAAATCTGCCTTGGATCCTTTCGAGTACTGAGCATTTTGAAGAGTTCATCTTTAGTAATATCAGGTAAAATATAGCCGTACTTCCTGGCGAGTTCAAGTCTTGCTTCAGGAAATTTGGCAGGATCTGCCAGATAACCACGGTTTTTGGCATCAGTGTAGTAAGGCACCAGTGCTTCAGGTGGAAGCATTCGCTTTGGGATGGGTTGTCCACGCAGAAAGAATGGAACAGGTTTGCACAGAATTTCTTAAAAAAAAAAAAAAAAAACAGACACGTAAATATTGGCTCTATACTTAATGACTATTATAAATTTTCTAATGTTCATTTATTTACTTTCATATTATCGAAAGGCAGAGCATCAGAGAGATCTCCCATCCACTGGTTCACAACCCAGATGCCCACAATAGCCAGAGTTGGGCCAGGCCAAAGCCAGAAGCCCAGAACTCCATCTTGGTCTCCCACATGGGTGGCAGGGTCCAAGCACTTCCAATGCTGCCTTCCCAAACACATTAGCAAGGAGCTGGATCAAAAGCAGAGTTCTGCTTATGGCCTGAAAAAGCAGCAGAGGACAGCAAAGTGCTTGGGCCCCTGCACCCAAGTGGGAGACCCAGAAGAAACTCCTGGCTCCTGGTTTCTGATTGGCCCAGCTCTGGCCATTGCAGCCATTTGGGGAGTGAACCAGCAGATGGAAGACCTTTCTGTCTCTCCCTCTCTCTCTCTGTAACTCTACCTGTCAAAAAATTAAAAAAAAAAAAAAAAAAAAGAGCAGCCTGGACTTACACCAGTGGTCAAAAATGGAATGCTGGTGTCAAAAGCAGGAGTTTAACCTGCTACACCAGGACTCCAGTCCCCATGAAGACGTTTTAAATCTTCACTTGGATCTTACCATTACATATTAGGAAGAATCATTACGATTTCTGAAAAAATAGTGTTACAAAAATGAAATCTCTTAACTAAAGAGCAGGTGAAGATATCTTAGTGATACCAACCAACAGAAGAATGCTGCCCAATCCTGGTTTTTCAGGTATTTTAAAAATACCTGAAACATGTTCTGAAGGTGAAGTAGTGAGAAAAGGCCTATGCACAAAATACCACCAATGCCACGAGGCTGCTAATTAGTTTAGAACACAAATAGATAACTACAAATATGATGATGCTCTACTGTGCTTTAAATAATACAATCTTACCCACAGCTGGAAGCATTAAACAAAGTCAAAAGACTACTAAAGAAACTTACTGAGAACCTATAACAATATGTACATTCACAAGGCTGTTATGAATTCTACCTGATTTAATCCACATAATCCATTCACACATGCACAGTACCCAGTATTAAATAAAGTAAATATTAATGCTCATCACCAAAATATAAGCTCTGTGTTGGAAAGGCCTCCTGACTCTAACCAGTGTCTCTCTAACCCCTTGGACAGGGTCTGGCAAACAAACCTCTGACTAAATAATTGATAAATGCAAGAAGCTGACAGTTATTCTAATATCTCTCATTTTTGAGCAGTATTCCCAACACAGGACAAATGAGAAAATGCCACCCAAAGAAATGAGAACTGCAGCTGCCTGCTAGGATCAAGCCTAGAATGACAAAAGCAAAACCATGCAAAGCCAACTGATGCTCTGGATGAAGGATCCTACAGACTTCACCTCTAACAGGACAATTAAACATTTGAGTTCTTGACTCAGTAAGAGATTATCACTAGGGTCAGCACTGTGGAGCAGCATGTTAAGCTGCCACCTGCAACACCAGCAGATGTGTGCCAGTTCAAGTCTCAGCTGCACCACTTCCAATCCTGCTACTGTGCCTATGAAAGCAGCAAAAGATGGCCTGAGTCCTTGAGGCTCTGCACCCTTGTGGGAGACCCAGATAGAGTTCCAGGATCCTGGCTTCAGGCCTGGCCCAGCCCTGGCAGCCATTTGGGGAGTGAATCAGTGGAAGGATGACCTCTCCCCTCTCTCTGCCTTTCAAATAAATATTTTTGAAAAGGAAAGAAATTATCATCAAACAAATTTAAGAAAGAACTTTGTGGCTTAACTAAAGTGCTTCATAAAGTATAGCTTTGTGTGTTTTATTCCACAGCCACCAAATAAATGGCACAGGCTCCCCACTCCAAATTTGGTTAGGTCCAAAACACACTGGATATTATAGACACTCATTCCAGTAAGTTGGGGGAAATGTGCTTCTGGCTACCGAATCCCACATACATGCAGAATAAATAAAGCAATGACTTGCTATGAAGAAAGTATTCTCATTAAAATAGGTAGCAAACCTCAATAACAAAATACTTATTCTAAACATTTAAAAATGTGACTGAATAAACTTGCTTCCGCAGGGTTCACACAAGAGAAATAATTCTTATTCTGAAAATAGCCCTCACAGATAGAAAAGAAAAATCTGCACTAAACATTTATTCTGGGTTGGGTATCTGGTATAGTGGTTAAAACAGCTCAGGATGCCTGATCCTGTATCAGAGTGTCTGACCCTTGTATTGAGTCCAGACTCCACTCCCAATTCCTGCTCTGTCTGATACAGAGCCTGGTTGCAGCATGCAGGAGACCCAGATTGAGCTCCTGGCTCCAGGCTTCATCATCCTGGCCCAGTTGCAGCAGTTGCAGGCACTTGGGAATTGAACCAGCAGACAGTAGATCTCTGTCTCTGTCTCCCTTCCAAATAAATAAATGCATTTTAAAAATTTCTTCCATAACTTAGAAAAATAAAGTACAAGCAAGTAAATTATTCTGATATGAAATTACAACTCGGCCGGCGCCGTGGCTCACTGGGCTAATCCTCCGCCTAGCGGCGCCGGCACACCGGGTTCTAGTCCCGGTCAGGGCGCCGGATTCTGTCCCGGTTGCCCCTCTTCCAGGCCAGCTCTCTGCTGTGGCCAGGGAGTGCAGTGGAGGATGGCCCAGGTGCTTGGGCCCTGCACCCCATGGGAGACCAGGAAAAGCACCTGGCTCCTGGCTCCTGCCATCGGATCAGTGCGGTGCGCCGGCCGCAGCGCGCTGGCCGCGGCGGCCATTGGAGAGTGAACCAACGGCAAAAGGAAGACCTTTCTCTCTGTCTCTCTCTCTCACTGTCCACTCTGCCTGTCAAAAAAAAAAAAAAAGAAATTACAACTCAGTGGTCAGCCTATGATAAGGCTTGTTTTACTGCTTTTAAAAGAACAGCTCTCAGGACGACAGAGCTGCCCAGGGGACCAAGCCCAACTGTCTTAGGGTGATGAATCCACCCAGGACTCCAGTTCATGACCTCGGGTGGCATCTGGCTGCTGCACAACCACCACCACCAAACTCTGTAATGACAATGACCTGAAAAATACTCTATGCCTCAAGGCCTTCAAAAAGACTAGTGACTGTTTTACAGAAAAACATTCATTTTCGTTTCTGAAGCAACTCACTGAAAATGATCAGTGATGGACCAAAGAAAGAAAAACTCCTTGGTGGTGAATATTTCTACAAAGCTCTCAACTATGAGGAAAATGGAATGGTATATATTTGTTTGAAACTCCTGACATTCAGAAAATATGAATATATTGCTTTTTCCCTTTTTATATATTGACATTAAAAACATTTTCAATTGCGCAATATGATCAAGAAATGTTTAATTTCTATTTGAGTGTAAAAGCACCCAAGACCTTGTAAAAGCATTTAGCCAGGGGCTGGCATTGTACTGTAGTAGGTTAGCATCCACCTGCAGCAACGGCATCCCATATGGGTGCTGGTTCAAGTCCTGGCTGCTCCACTTCTCATCTACCTCCCTGCTGTTCCTCATCTGATCTAGCTCCCTGCTGATGGCCTGGTAAAGCAGAAGATGGTCCAAGTGCCTGCCCTCCTACACTCATGTGGGAGACCTGGAAGAAGTTCTTGGCTCATGGCTTCTGACTGGCCCAGCTCTAGCCGTTGCAGCCATCTGGGGAGTGAACCAGCGAATGGAAAACCTCCCTCACTGTCTCTTCCTGTCTCTGTAACTCTGCGTATCAAGTAAAGATATAAATCTTTAAAAAAAGTATTTAGCCAACAAGTGACATCTGATTTTCACCCCTGTAGCTTACAAAAGTCCAGTTCATTCATTCAACAAATTTTAAATGAGTCTCTACTACACATCAGGAACTGTGCACCATGCTAGAAATAGAGCAGTGAAAAAAGGCCCCCATCATCATAAGACGGGAAAGACAACAAACAGGAGTCAGAGAAATAATATCATACTTTTCTCAGCTTCTGACAACTGCCACAAACAACACACAGGGCAAAGGGACAGGGCATGACTGTGTGTGTGTGTGTGTGTGTGTGCAGACCTGTGTGTCTACGTGTGTTCTTCTGTTTAGCAGAGGCAGGGATGATCTCCCTAATAAGCAAAGAGAAGAATGGGGCTCAGAGTCATGAAGATTCCAGGTGAACAAGTCTCCAGGTAGAGGGAATAGCAGGATCAGAGGCCTGAAGGTGGAAGGAGAAAGGCTAGGACAGGCAGCCAATGATAGAACTGACAGGCAGCCAACGACAGAACTGAACAAGCAGAGGGAGCATTAGGAGGGGTAGGAGGTGGTGCAGCGTCATAGAATGGCATGAACACCACTGGAGGCTCTGTGCGGAGGAGTGACAGTCCATGCCTTCGAAGAAGCCCTGTGCTGTGTGACTTCACTGTAGGCAGGGTGGCACCAGAGTCCAGCTAGAAGGGAGCACGGACATCAAAGCCAGAGGATGGGGAAGGGCAGCAGCTGGAGAGGCAGGACGATCATGGACAGGCTGGAGACAGAACTCACAGGATGTGCAGGGTATAAAAGAAAGAGTCCAGAGGACTCCACATTTTGGTATAAGATCAGAAAAATGGCATTGTTGGGGCCAGCACTGTGGCATAGTAGGTAAAGCCACTGCAGAAAGATGTCATTGTTGGGGCTGGCACTGTGGCGTAGCACGTAAAGCTGCTGCCTACAGTGCCAGCATCCCATACGGGCATTGGTTGGAGTTCCAGCAGCTCCATTTCCTATCCAACTCTCAGCTATCACCTAGGAAAGCAGCAGAAGATGGCCCAGGTCCTTGGGCCCCTGCTCCTGTGTGTGAAGACCCAGAGAAAGCTCCTGGCTCCTGGCTTCAGATCGGCACAGCTCTGGCCATTTCAGCCAATTGGGGAGTGAATCAGAGGATGGAGACCTCTCTCTCTCTCTGCCCCTCCTTATCTCTCTGTGAAACTCTGACTTTGAGATAAATAAATTTAAAAAAAAATGGCATTGTTATTTACTCAGTGTGCAAGCACACATGGAAGTGAAAGACAAAAAAGATACATCAGAAACACTAGGCTTGAGATCCCTATGAGGTATTGAGGGGGAGGTGCTGGGGAGAATCTGGAGCGCAGAGGAGTGGACCAGAGGCTCTCTGCCCCTTGGCCCATCAGTCAGCAAGAAGCTTTACTCATTACATCATAATAGCCCATGTGATACATGCAGCCCAAACAACAACTACCAAGGTTTACTCTTCACCAACTAATTCAAAAGCAGCAGGTGCTGGCGCCGCAGCTCACTAGGCTAATCCTCTGCCTTGTGGTGCTGGCACACTGGGTTCTAGTCCCAGTCGGGGCGCTGGATTCTGTCCCAGTTGCCCCTCTTCCAGGCCAGCTCTCTGCTGTGGCCAGGGAGTGCAGTGGAGGATGGCCCAAATACTTGGGCCCTGCACCCCATGGGAGACCAGGATGAGTACCTGGCTCCTGCCATTGGATCAGCGCGGTGCGCCGGCCACAGCCCGCTGGCCGCGGCAGCCATTGGAGGGTGAACCAATGGCAAAGGAGGACCTTTGTCTCTCTCTCTCACTGTCCACTCTGCCTGTCAAAAAAAAAAAAAAAAAAGCAGCAGGCAATATGAGACAAAGAGGGAAAGAAGAAAACGACCACACAGCAAGCTTACCCAGACTTCTCGGGTCATAGAAGGCTGTAGTGACAACACCGCCGTTCTTCTCGATTGCAGCAATGGCTAGTTCTGAAGCCATCTGTACTTCAATATTAACTTTTGCCTTGAAGGTGTCAGCACCCTACATGGTGTCCAAACAGAGTCAGTTAGTAAATACAGTAGCCAAAAGTAAACAAATGACAGACTTCCTTTCTAAACTGTGTTTTCCCTCCAAAGTACCTATGATATAACAGTTAATTTCTATTTTAAATATCTCTGCTTTAGGGGCCAGCATTGTGATGCAATGGGTTAAACTGCTGCCTGTGATGTCAGGATCCCATATGTGTGCCCATTCAAGTCTCAGGTGTTCCTTTGCAAACCAGCTGGTTGCTAACACACCTAGGAAAGCTGCAGAAGATGGCCCAAGCATTTGGGCCCCTTCCACCCACATGGGAGACCAGGACAGAGTTCAAGGCTCCAGGCTTCAACCTGGACCAGTCTCAGCTGTTGCAGTCATTTGGGAATAGAAGATTTTTCTGTCTCTCCCTCTTTCTCTGCAACTCTTTTTGACTTTCAAATAAGTAAATCTTTAAAAATAAGTAAATAAGTGTCTCTGCTTTCAGGTGTGATGTATTATACTGCTTTACATTTTATTTAGGATACTGTGTTTCACCAATTTCAATCACTGGCAATACAAAGGACTACATTTCCATCCATTTTATGTACTCAGAAGACACCCATTCCTGGTACTTCATTAAAAAAGGATTATTGATTGTCATCACAGCCCATGACAGGATCACTACCATACCAGCTTCACAGATGAGGTTGCTGAAGCACAGGTTTAAGCAATATGCCTGAGATCACAAGGCTAGAATTCTACTCCAGCACTCTAGTCAGTGTTTGTGAGCACACTGTGCTGCGTGATGTAGGTGAGAACGATTTTTCCTTCTCCCTTTGTCAGTAAGGAAAGAGCCTAACAGAAAGGTAATGAGGGAGAGAAGTGAGCTGGAACAGGAAGAACAGAGTATCTGACACTGCGCACCACAGGGGTCTGCCCCTTCCAGGGAAAAAGGCAGAAGACAACAGATACTAGCTTTGCATTCCCCACTTTTATTAAAGCCTTTAAGCAGAGGGGAAAAAAAGTGAACATTTCCCTAGAATGTTCAACATTAGAATATATAATAGTGAACTTTTCAAAGTTCTGTTTTTAGTCATATTTAGTTAGGATGTTATATTTTTTCATACTTTCAAAATAAATTCTAATAAAAATAAAATGAAGACAACTAATCCACTCTCGATGCAATATAAATCATTTACTGCAGCTGAAATAAATCGGCTCCCAGGCTGGCTCCTTTTGTAAGTTAATAACTTTTCATGTATTTCAAAAACACACCATCAATTCTAAAATACACTTTCTCACATATTTTACATTTTGACATGGTTTGCATTTTTTTCAAGTTTTATTTATTATTTGAAAGGGAGAGTGATGAGAAAGTGAGAGAGAGAGAGTGAGACAGAGTGAGAGAGAGAAAGAGAGAGAGAGAGAGATCATTTACCTACTGTTTCACTTCCCAGATGCCCACAACAGCCAAGGTTGGGCCTAGCCAAAGCCAAGGAGCTAGGAGTTCAATCCAGGTCTCCTATGTAAGCGGCAGGAACCAACATACTTGAGCACCATCTGCCTCCCCGGTGCATTAGCAGGAAGCTAAATCACAAGCAGATGCAGGCTCAATCCCAGGCACTCCAATGGGGGATGTAGCTAACCCAAGCAGCAGCTTAGCATGCTATACCACAACACATTTTTATAACCAATGCATTTTTTTTTTTTTTGACAGGCAGAGTGGACAGTGAGAGAGAGAGACAGAGAGGAAGGTCTTCCTTTGCTGTTGGTTCACCCTCCAATGGCTGCCGCGGCCGGCACGCTGCGGACGGCGCACCGCGCTGATCCGATGGCAGGAGCCAGGAGCCTGGTGCTTTTCCTGGTCTCCCATGGGGTGCAGGGCCCAAGCACCTGGGCCATCCTCCACTGCACTCCCTGGCCACAGCAGAGAGCTGGCCTGGAAGAGGGGCAACCGGGACAGAATCCGGCGCCCCGACCGGGACTAGAACCCGGTGTGCTGGCGCCGCTAGGCGGAGGATTAGCCTAGTGAGCCGCGGCGCCGGCTCTAACCAATGTATTTTTAATTCACTAGGAAAGGGCCTTGCCATGCTACATGTTCTACTTCATAGACAAGTTCTACTTCATAGACTGCTCAACCATCTCCCTTTTCTTAGACACTGGTGTAGGTTCCAATATCTTCAGTATTATAAATGGCATTTTTAGAACTATCTTTATTTCAGGCTTCTTTTCATTTTTCTTTTCCTTGGGAACATATATTCCCAAATCGGTTGATTCTTTACTAAAGGATCAAAACAGTGTTACTATGCACTATTTCCTGAAAATCTGACATCCAGAAAAGGTAAACCAATTTACACATTTGCAAAGATGTAGAACTCACTCTTCAATCACTGCCTTCAGGCAGAATTTTCAGGATTGTTTTTGCTGGTTTAATAGACACAATCCTCCAGGACTGTGGGATATGCAGTTAAGCATAAGGTCATGGATTTTCCCATATGTTAAGGTACATGTGTATTTCTTTATATAGCTAGGGTAGACAAATAAGGCTTAATCATGTATTTGGTATTCTTTTTTCAAATTACTTCATTTAGAAAGCTTTTATCAGTAGATTGGCTTTTTCAAAGCAATCTACAAACTTCTTCCAAAAAACATATGCTTCCCTCTAGTGGACACAAAGTTATCTACACAGCTATACAGAAGAAACAGTACAAAAACTTAACTATGAACTCCAGGCTAATTCTTTTTTTTTTTTTTTTTGACAGGCAGAGTGGACAGTGAGAGAGAGAGAGACAGAGAGAAAGGTCTTCCTTTGCCGTTGGTTCACCCTCCAATGGCCGCCGCGGCTGGCGCGCTGCGGCCGGCGCACCGCGCTGATCCGATGGCAGGAGCCAGGAGCCAGGTGCTTTTCCTGGTCTCCCGTGGGGTGCAGGGCCCAAGCACCTGGGCCATCCTCCACTGCACTCCCTGGCCACAGCAGAGAGCTGGCCCGGAAGAGGGGCAACCGGGACAGAATCCGGCGCCCCTACCGGGACTAGAACCCGGTGTGCTGGCGCCGCTAGGCGGAGGATTAGCCTAGTGAGCCGCGGCGCCGGCCTTCCAGGCTAATTCTTAAAACAAATAGAAAATGTCTTTACTGCAATTGGAGTGGGATTTCATCCATTCCTTTTCTCCATAAACAAAGGTTGAGTGACTATCATGAGAAAATATTTCCACTACTGAAAATGAATCAATGAATCAAAGTAGTGCCCTCAAGAGAGCTTGTACCATATAAAGGAAACAATGAAAAATAAAAGTACAACTTGGTAATAAGGGTCAGATGCTCATTTATACTCAAAGAAAAATGCTCTAAGCAGGATAAAACAGTATGTCTGAAGGGATGGAGCAAGTACTCTTTTACAGAAAGCTGTCAAAAAAAAACTATTCTCATATGTAGACATTTGAGAAGGGAACCAAAGGAAGTGAGAGCAAGCTGTTTGGACACTCTGAAGAGCAGGGCAGAGCCACTGGCTTTTCAAAACCACAGACTGGGCTAATAACAACTACGTGATGGTTATTTATGAACACAACTCAAATGGGGTGAAAATAAAAAAGCAAAGTGTTAATTATATGGCACTGAGGAAATACCTTTGTATGCAGCACTGAAAGACCTACACCAGTCTTACCTCCTCTACCAGCTGGACACCATAATCCCTTTTGAGGGGCTGGATGGTCACACCTCTCCCATTGACAAGCTGGGTTAAGTCAATAGGTTGCGTAGGGTCAACTCGTCCCAAATCTATAAGATACTGCAGTCTATTGAGACTCAGAGGCTGATACTGGCGTCTGAAGCTATAAAATGAGAATGTAACAGTTCAAAAACTCAAATTAAGATTCCTGTAACTTCTCTAAATCAACTCAAAACTTTGTCCTGTGTTTTCTTCCATTATGTTTGATGGTTTAGCAAAATAACATCCTCCTGTTAACAATGTATGTATTTAATTTTCACTTTTACTTCATTTTACATAATTATTTGAGTTAGGGTAATAAAACCAGTACTTCTTTTGTTCCACTAAAAAGAACTTGTCTAACAGTGCACTTCACTCATTTACACAAAAGACAAATTTCTCCTATTTAAATAATGAATTAGTTGAGCTCAAAGTAGTAACAGTAGTTATCATTTATTGGATGACTACAATGGCTTAGACTGTGTATTTGTAAATATTTCCAATCCTATACATAGCCATAGGAGAGCAGACATTATCATGATCATTTGCAGGTCCAAGTACAATGTCCTCTACTAATCCAGACCAATTTTCAATACCAAAAACAGTTCAGACAAAACAATACCAAGAGCTTGCTTCAAAATGAATTTAAAATTTCTACCAAACTATTTTCTGGGTTTTTTGTTCATTTTTTTTAACCAAACTATTTCTTTAGGTAACTCTCAATGGAAATTAGAGGGGGTCTACACTTTAAAAAGTAAAGCAAACTTACCTGTGTCCTTCATTAAACCCGTATTTTGGGATTCGGATGTAAAATGGAGTCTGGCCTCCCTCAAAGCCTAGTCGGGGCCGGGTTCCTCTCTGTCTTTCTCCTTTATGGCCTCTGCCACATTTTCTACCTCTTCTCCGACCTCTTGGCCGTCTCTCCTACAAGCAAACAAGAGAAATTTATATCTATAGATGCATTTGAGAAAACTGTATATACTTCTCCTCTTCACTGTGTATTTTCTTGTGATGCCACCTGTTCATTCCACTAAACACTGAAAGCTAACACCCTAAGGCAAACATCCAAACACCCCATCAGTATCTTTGAAGATGTAGCTAATTCCTGAATCCAAGGCAAGTTCCAAGGATAGGATGGGGACAAGGAATCTATAATAAGCCAGGACTGGAAAAAAAAAAATCCTAGATCCTCAACAAATGTAAATGATAGTCAAGAAAATCTTCATTTTGGAATTCTAAACATGTAATTGTTACAAACATTATTTGGAAACAAACAAAAAGATTTTCCGTATAATGTTACTCCTGTGGCTTCAAAAAAGCAACGAATTAATTCTGTTGATGATGCTATGTCAACTAACAGCTTTTCCAGTTATATTCAGTGAGTTACAAAACAAACAGCTCGCACAACAATCAACTCTTTCCACGCAAGATTCACTGGAAAATCACTTCATTTTGAATCCAATTTTGAACGACACAATCATTTTAGTTTGTGCGTTTGCCCCTCTTACCTAATGAACATTTTCATGCTTTAAAATAGAAATCTCATTAAGATCTGGGAGCTCCTTGGTCTTTCCTCTGCAGTTTTAAGGAGGACACAGGGGCTCGGCAACCCTAAATTCACTCCCAACACCCTCCAAAAGTGAAAGGCCACGGACATCTCTCGGGTCCCCAGGGCTTCCCCGCCCGCCACCAGCCATTTACCGGTTTCCTGGAGCCGGGATTAGGTTTTAAGTTGGCCAGGCTCACACGCGGTAAAGCCCGCAGTAGGTCCAGGGCCCTGGCCCCACCGCCCCGTACGGACCCCGCCATGACCTGCCCGGCCAAGAACTTCCAAGGGCGTCTGTAGCCGCCTAGACGCCACGGGGACCCCGCGCACTGCTTTACGGCCGCGGCCCCGCCCCTGTCGCGCTGCAGCCGCATGCGCCGCGAAGCCGGTACCCGGCAATGGCTGGCGAGTTTGTAAGCTGGGCGCTGTTACCTTACCCTTTACACGTGTTTATTTGCTCATTTTTTAATCTTCGTGGATGTGAACCTGCGTATTTTGGGCTATCATGTTTTGTCCTCGGACTCCCGTTCGACGTGCTTGGTTGTTGTCTGGCCTTGCGTATAGGCAGGTGTAGTATAAGGCACATGTCTTCTCTGAGCTCAGAGTGGACCCTGCAGTTTTAAAGCGCGAGCGGTACGTAAATTATCAGTTTTTGCACTTGGGTAATTATATACCGTCATATTTGAAAATAGTATCCAAAATCCAGCCACTAAAACGCCTGGCGGTTGAGATGGCCGCCTCCTATATCTGAGGCCTGGGTTTGATTCCCGCCGATGCAGGCCCTGGGAGGCAGCGGTGATGGGTGAAGTGATTGGGCCCCTGCCACACACGTAGGAGACCTGACCGAGTTCCCTGCTCCACCCTGGCCCGGTTCTGCATGCACTTGCACATTTAGGGAGGGAACCAGGTGGGTGCTGTCTCTCCGCTTCCCAATTAAAAAAAAAAAAAAAAAAAAAGCCTTCTACTACCTACTACCATCCCTTGAATCAGATTGAAACTGTGTATTCTTATCCACGTGCGTCTGTATTGTGAATCACTGTATGCCTGCCTACATCACAGTTACTGATGCAATTTTATATATTTGAGAGACACACAAGCTGGAAAGTTCACATTTGCTGGTTCTTTTTCCAAATACCAGAAATTGTGTTAGGGATAGGAAGAGTTGGAGAAAAAAGCTGGCAAGGATCTCAGTCTGGGTCTCCCATATAGGTGGCAGGAAACTGTCACCCCTGCCTCCCAGAGTTTGCATTAGCAGGAAGCTGCTCTCAGGTGCTGGGGGTAAATATGGAATGCAGGCACTCTGATATATGCAGTGGGGCCTATGAACCACTAGGCCAAACACCGATCCGGAACTCACTTAATGATAGGGGCCATACTGAGCACTTAGCATGTACCAGAAACAGTGTTAAGTTACCCACATTCAATTTACTTAAGTAACCAACCTCTCTAGAGGTAGATGTTATCACATTTCACAGAAAAGGTAAGGCTTAGCAAGGTCAGATGGCTTGACCAAGATCTCATAGCAAGTGCAGAGCCAGGATTCAAATTTACCTTGCCTTCTATTTTAAAAATAGTAATTTGGGTGCCAGTGTTGTGGCATAGGAGATAAAGCCACTGCCTGCTGTGTCAGCATCCCATATAGGTGCCAGTTCATGTCCTGGCTGCTCCACATCTCTCTCTTTTTTAAAAAATTTATTTATTTGAGAGGTAGAGTTGCAGACAGAGAGGGAGAGACAACAAGAGAGGTCTTTAATCTGCTGGACTCCCCAAATGGCCAGTGCTGAGCTGATCTGAAGCCAGGAGCCAGGAGCTTCTTCAGGGACCCAGGCTTCAGCCTGGCCCAGCCTTGGCCATTGCAGCCGTCTGGGTAGTAAACCAGTGGATGGAAGATCTCTGTTTTTACCCTGCGCCCCTGTATAACTTTCAAAAAATATTTTAAAAATACGGGAATAAAGATAGAAATATATTTTTATAATATAAAATATCTGCTTCACAAAATACTTAACATTATTATTCTAAAAAATACCAACTTTAATTTTGTTATAAGTGAGTTTAATAAAGGAAAAGCTGTGGTCCTTTTTTTTCTTTAATATTCTGTTGGTATTTCACCATCCTGTCAGGGATTGTTCCTGCTTACTCTTAACAAATAATCATGAATAGTGACGTTGAGAGTATTTTGGAGGACAGTTGTTTCGATGTTTAAATCTTTTTTTAAAAGTTAAAATAGCAGTAATAACTACTTAAGGAAAAAATCCATTCATTCCTTTAAGTAATATTTATAAACAAGAGATACTCTACTTGTTAGAACACACATGGGCGATGTCTAATAGGGCCAAGTTCGCAGGTTGTTTGAAATATATTAGGAGGGGCTGGCGCCATAGTGCAGTAGGTTAATCCTCTGCCTGCGGCGCTGGCATCCCATTTGGCGCGCCTGTTCTAGTCCCAGCTGTTCCTCTTCCAATCCAGGTCTCTGCTATGGCCTGGGAAAGCAGTGGAAAATGGTCCAAGTGCTTGGGCCCCTGCACCCACGTGGGAGACCAGGAAGAAGCACCTGGCTCCTGGCTTCGGATCAGCGCAGCTCCAGCTGTTGCAGCCATTTGGGGAGTGAACCAGCGGATGGAAGACCTTTCTTTCTGTCTCTCCCTCTCACTGTCTGAAACTCTACCTCTCAAATAAATAAATCTTAAAAAAAAAAAAGAAAGAAATATATAGTAGGGTAGAATTCCCGATAGTATATTTTTAAAACTATTTATTTATTTATTCATTCATTTATTTAAGTCAGAGTTAAAGAAAAAGATCTTCCATCTGCTGGTTCACTCCCCAAAATGGCTGCAATTGCCAGGGCTGGCCCAGGCTGAAACCTGGAGCCAGGAGCTTCATCTGGGTCTCCCAGGTGGGTGAGGGAACCCAAGTACTTGGACCATCTTCCACTTCTTTCCCAGGCACATTAACAGGGAGCTGGATAGGAAGTAGAACATCTGGGACTCAGGCACCCATATGAGATGCCGGCATCACAGGCAGCAGCTTAACCCACTACACCACAGTGAACCCCCTTAACACAGTAATTTAAAAAAAAAAAAAAAAGTAGGCCTCCTGTAACCTAATTAACAAAAAAGCAAGGAAAAACAAGATATATGAGCTCCATAAATGTAAGGCTCAGAAAAGCAGAAGAAAGGGGCAAAGAAAATAGAAGCTAGTGCCTGCCTTTCATGATTTTTACTTAAATATTTATTTTTTTTCATTAGAGAGTTTAAAATTTGGAAAGAAAATTGCAAAGTATAATTACAAACCTTATCCTGATCTACAGAAAAAAAAAAAAGATACAAAAGATACACTATTTTCTACCTTAAAAAAAATCATTGTTGGGGCCGGCACTGTGGGTCAGTGGGTTAACGCCCTGGCCTGAAGAGCTGGCATCCCACACGGGTGCCAGTTCGCAGCCCGGCAGCTCTGCTTCTCATCCAGCTCTCTGCTGTGGCCTGGGAAGGGCAGTGGAGGATGATGACCCAGGTCCTTCGGCCCCTGCACCTGCATGGGAGACCCTGAGGGGGCTCCTGGCTTCTGGCTTCGGATCAGCGCAGCTCTGGCCCTTGCAGCCAATTGGGGAGTGAACCATTGGATGGAAGACTCTCTCTCTACCTCTCCTCTCTCTGTGTAACTCTGACTTGCAAATAAATAAATACATTTTTAAAAAAATCATTGTTGGGAGGCTGATGTTGTGACTCAGCAGGTTAAGCCACTGCTTTTGATGCCAGAATCTTATATCAGAGTGCTTGTTGAAATCTGGGCTACTCTGCATCTGATCCAGCTTCCTGCTAATGCTCCTAGGAAAGCAACGGATGATGGTATAAGTATTTAGGTCTCTGACACCCATGTGGGAGACCTGGATGGACTTCCTGGGTCCTGACTGCAACCTAGTGCAGCCCTGGCCTTGGGAACCAGTGGGTAGAAGATCTCTTTGTCTCTGTTGCACTGCCTTTCAAATAAATAAATAATAAGTAGATATAAGTAAATCTTTTTAAAACATCGCTTATATTAGTGAATTTCTGATTGAATATTAATATCAGTAATTATTTTATGGGAAAAGCTTTTACTTGGGGCCAGTGCTGTGGTGTAGCAGGTAAAGCTGCTGCCTGCAGTGTTAGCATCCCATATGGGCACCAGTTTGAATCCCAGCTGTTCCACTTCTGATCCAGCTGCTATGTCCTGGGAAAGTAGAAGATGGCCCAAGTCCTTGGGCCCCTGAACCCCTGTGCACATGTGTGGGAAAGCCGGAAGAAGCTCCTGGCTCCTGGCTTCAGATCAGCCCAGCTCATTGTTGCGGCCAGTTGGGGAGTGAACCAGTGGATGGAAGACCTCTCTTTCTCTTTTTCTGCCTCTCGTCCTCTCTCTGTGTAACTCTGACTTTCAAATAAATAAATAAATCTTTTTTAAAAAAGGTTTTACTGAGTAAATGAGATACAGGAAATGTAAAGTAATATGATATAATTTTTTGAGATATACAATATCTTCACGGTATGAATTATGTAATGCTATTGGTGGACACTGCTAATAGTAATGGAAATAATAAATGTTTGCAGTTAATAGTTGGCTGCATGTTTGTTTATCCCAAATCCAACAGGTTGATTAAGCTTATAAATCTGTCAAAATAATTTAATAATAAAGTAAGGTTGTGTGATGACTAAGTTCACAATACTTGATAGATGTAAGAGGACCTTGTTATATGAAAACATTTATTTCAGCAACAACTGAAAGTCCATCCTGATTCCAGACCCAGTTAATAGTGACTACTGGAGGCCAGCATCCCATATTGGTGCCGGTTCAAGTCTTGGCAGTTCTACTTCCATCGAGCTCTTGGCTATGGCCTGGGAAAGCAGTAGAAGATGGCCCAAATCCTTGGGCCCCTGACCCATGTGGGAGACCCAGAAGCTTCTGGCTCCTGGCTTCAGATTGGCCCAGCTCCAGTCTTGCAGCCAACTGGGGAGTGAACCAGCGAATGGAGGACCTCTCTCTTTCTCTCTGCCTCTTCCTTCTCTCTCTGTGTAACTCTGACTTCCACATAAATAAATCTTTTAAAGAAAAAAAGTGACTACTGAATCATTGCATTAAAAGAATAAAATGAGCCTCTGAAGATAATATAACTTGAAGTCTCTTGGGAAAACCTTGCACATTCCCAAAGACTCCTCCTCATTGTGTTTCAGTGCATGATAGTCCAATAGTCTGTTAACATAGGGTAATTCCGCTGAGGTCATTACTTTAGAAAATATTGTTATAGCCAGCATGGTGGTGCAGGTTCAAGACCTGGGTGCTCCACTTCCAATCCAGCTCCATGTTCATATGCCTAAGAAATCAGGAAAAAATAGCCCAAGAACTCGGGCACTTACAACCA